TCTTTCCCTGTGGCACAGCCCTTGCCCCTGTGCTCCTGTCCCCGTCTGTCCATCGTCCTCTGAGAAGGTTCTGTGCACATGGCTTGTCGCGCCTTCTTGTCGTGGCAGCCTCAGGTTTCTTTTTCCTCTGACTGTGTAGCAGTTTTGTCTGAATCTGTAACATGGCAGCAAACTGTGTGCCTCTGTCGTCTCCGACCTTCAGCTGAACCTTTTCATTTCTGTCCCACCTGTGTCTGTCGCTGTGGGGAGGGTCCCCCTGCTGGAGCGCTCAGTGGTGCCCAAGACCCACAGGTGCCAGGACCATCAGTTTGGAGAGAAGCTTTCCTCTCTGCAAGTGAATGGAACCCAGTCCATAAAGGACTATTGCTAGCTTTTTGCATCAAAAAAAAAAAAAAGCCTTGCCATTAAGTCGATTCCAACTCAGTGACCCCCACTGGGTTTCCAACACAGTAAATCTTTACAGAAGTAGATGGCCTCATCTTCCCTCTGTGGAGCGGCTAGTGGGTTTGAACCACCAACCTTCTGGTTAGCGGTCAGTGCCTTAGACACTGTGCCACCAGAGCTCTTCAGCTTGTTGTACAGCTGGTCCTTTTTTTTTTTTTAAAAAAAAAAAAAAAGCATTATTGATGTAAAATTTTACATATTGTAAAATTTGCTTGTTTTAAGGGAACGGTTGAGTGATTTTAGTCATTGTTACAGAGTTGGGCAGCCAGCAGCACAATCTGATTTTAGAACATTTCCCTCTTAGCTGTTTGCCCCCATCATCCCAGTCTACTTCCTGTCTCTATGGGTATGCCTGTTTTGGGCATTACCAGAATAGTATGTGGAATCATATGATACGTGGTTCTCGCATCTGGCTTCTGCTTGGCTTTATGTTTTGAAGGTCACCCATGTTGTAGCCTGTGGTAGTTAAGTTTGTGTGTCAGCTTGGCTGGGCCATGGTTTTGAGTGGCGTGGCAGCTGGGTGCAGTTGCTCTCCATGATGAGATTGGATCTGGTGTGAGCAGTTAATTAGTTGCCTTTGGGGTGTGGCCTGCTTCCAGTATATGTGGAGAAGCTTTGAGAAAGGTCTCTAGCTTTTTGGCACATTTTGGATCCTGCATTTGGCCAAGCCTTCAACTCCAGTTCCTGGACTTGAACCAGTGGCCTGCTGTGTTGTCTCCGGATCTTCGTGCCATTTTACCTGCCAGCCTTGGGTTCGTCAGCCTCAGCAGCTGGCACCTGGCTGAGTTAGAAGGTGTCCCTAGCTCCAGTGGGCCTGGAGTAAGAGGCATATCTGAAGCCCAAGGTCTGGAGCACTCTGAATTCAGACTTCCAGCCTCCTAAACGGGAACTCTGGTAGCGTAGTGCCTAAGGCACTTGACTGCTAACCAGAAGGCTGGCGGTTCAGACCCACCAGCCACTCCTCGGAAGGAAGGTTGGGCAATCTACTTCCGTTGTGATACTGCCTCGGAAACCTAAGGAGGGGTCGCTATGAGTCGGGGTCGACTCGATGGCAAACAACAACAGCCTCTTGAAGTGTAAGAGAATATACTCCTGTTTGTTAAAGCTCTCCACTTGTGGTGTGTCTGTTACAGCAGCATCGGGGAACTGCGACAAGCCTCTATCGGGACTCCATTCCTTATGGCCAAGCAACATTGCATTATATGAATGGACCATGTCATATTTTGTTTATCTAGCCGTCTGCTGATTGCCCTTTGGGTGGTTTCCACTTTTTGGCTCAGGGTAATACGCGGTGAACATGTGTTTACAAGCCTTTGGTGGACATATGTTTTCTTGTTTCTCGGGTAGATACCTACGAGTAGAATTGATAGGTCATGGAGTAAATTTATGTTCAACCAAACCTGTGGGGTTTTTTGTTTGTTTTATGGTGGTAAAATGTATTTCTTAAAAAACCATTTGCCGTTTGAAGCATTTTTGTAAGTACATAATTCAGTGACATTAATTACGTTCCCTGTGTTGCACAGCCATCACCACTATCCATTTCCAAATGTTCTTCATCCGCCCAGTAGAAAGTCCGTGCCCTTAAGCAGTAATCCCTCTTGCCCCCCACCCTCAGCCCCTGGGGACCACTGGTCAGCTTGGGTCTTATTCTTGGTATTTTTCATGAGCGGATCATGCAGTGTTTGTTCTTTTTCTCTGACTTCTTTTTCTCAGTGTCATGTCTTCAAGGTTCATCCCTGTGGTACGTGGTAGTGTGTAGCAGGACCCTGGAGGGCTGGGTCCTGTGCCATTGCGCGGATTCATCAGGCTGCGTAACCATTCCTCTGTTGATGGACTTTGTGTTGGTCCTCCCTCTTGGCTGTTGAGAAGGAATGGTGCTATAAGTGCATATGGCAGTACCAGTCTCTTACACCTGGTCTCGGATGCACCCAACATGTAGTCACAGCTTCGAGTCAAGACATCAGCAGGGTGACTCAGGCACTTGGGACCCCTGCAGTTCTTGAGATGGGGCTTTGATAAGTTGCTTGAACAGTAGCAGACAGGACCTGTTTCCTGTTCGATGATGTGTTGATGTTGCTTCTCTGACTTTGTAGCTGTGGGACTTAAAGATTTCGAATGGCCTTAAGTAATTAGAGGCAAGACTCAGCTGAGCTCTCTAGAAAGCCATCTACTAGAGGAACATTAAGATTTTTCTGTGCTGCTTACCAGTTACAATTGGGCTGGACAGAAACTCCCTTGCTCCCGTATAGTAAGCAGGCAGTGTGTTTGTGTTGTGTATGGAATTTGAGTTGGATAGATTGCATATTCCATTGTATACATTGTAGACTTAGGGTTTCAGCTGTGAGGTCACATGTGGTCTCATGTCAGGTAGTAAGTGACCTCTTGCTGATGCACAAACAGACCCTAATTACTGAAAATACAAATTGTTCCATATTTACAGGATACTAAACCCTCAACAGCAGTGGTTTTTTTTTTTTTTGGTTTGGCATCTTTAAGATTAAAAAGAACGAAAATTACTAATAATTGATAAGTGAGGATGCAAACAAAATAGAACCTTCAGGGAGTTTTGGGGACGTTTGACTGTCTGCCAGTCACCAGTCTACCAGACAAGGGCTTCCAGACTCTCCTCAGCACACATTGTGGCACCATCCCTGGTCTTGGCATGGTTCCAGCTGGAACGCACCTCTGGGAGATGGACCAGCCTGGGTGGGGATGAAGAACCAACCCAGGCTTTGGGACTTGCCTGTCTGGGTCTGGTTTCTGTGCCACCACTCCTTACAGGCACTCTGGGCAGCTGGTTGATGTCTCCAAGTCTGTGTCTCACCAGGGAGAGCACTGAGCAGGGTGACTGACGAGGGAGCTGGCCCTGTCCTTACACCATAGTGGACCACATGCACAGTTCCTGGGACAGCAGGCTCTGGGGTTCTCTGGGTGTGAGGGTGACATAGTGGGTGTGGAGGAGGCGCGTCCCTTTAACAGACCAGTGACCGTGAGTGTCTTGGACATTAACTTGGGTGGCATTGTGCAGGGCAGCTGTGAGGTGAGCCAGGTGAGGGCCGTCTCAGCTCTGGTGGTTTGGGGAGGAGGTGGGGGAATTTTGGGGTGATTTCATGGCCAGGCAAGGATGCAAGGGTCACAGCTGACTACTCCTACCAGGATAGGGTGTGTCTGGGGGCTAGTTTGAAGGAACAGAAATTGTTTGGGAGGCTGCCTGTGACTTCCCCTTGAATGCCGTCAGGGTGGCTGGACGTGCAGAGCGGACAGGATCAGATGGCGGGCTGGGACACAGTCTAGTGGTGGGCCCGTAACCTCTGGGGTCATTAGTTGGAGGCTGAGGTGAGAGGAGAACCAAAGCTGGACTTGGTGTATATGGAGGTTTGGGGACTTTGGAAACGAGGGTTCCCGGGGGGGCTGGCTTGGGCTTGGGTAGAGGGGGTGCAGCTGTTGGTGGCTGTGCTTTTCCTTATCCTTGAATCGTTATATCCGAGGGTGGAAATCGCTGTGGAACTTGTGAGCGGAGGGCTTTCACAACTGCACCGGGCACTGCCTCTTCTCACTGGGTGCTGTGACTTCCTCTCAGCAGGCACATCACCCTGCCCAAGGCTGCTGGCCCCTCGCCCTTTTCAAAATGGAACTTAAGACGGTCTCAGCTGTAAATGGCACAGGGTTTCTTCTCAGCTGCTGAATTGCCATCCTCTCAGTGCCTGTGACACAGCAGCGTGTCCCTCGTGCATAGGATGCACATGGTGGGCACCTGCAAACCTGCGTCCTGATCTTGAAAAATAGAACAAACCCAGAACCACATACGTTGTTGCAAAATCCCATCTTGTGTGATTTCCCACAGTGCATTTTAACCGTCTTCTTGTTGACTTTAGTTTGGAAGACACTGCACCCTGGTAAGTCAGCACTTTGCTTTCCTCCTGGTACATTCAGAAGCCTTATTTGCTGCTCTTTGTGGCCTTGCAACCTTGCTTTGTGTGACACTTGGCTCTGGCTTCTTAGCATCTGCTAAGCATACTGGGTCTGGGTTTCTAGAAACGGAGGCAGGTAGCACTTAGAGAAGAGTGCACCTGGCTTTTGAGTTTTCCTTGGAGTCTGCCTGTGTGCTCAGGGACTCAGAGCAGTTACCATTTGTCAGCATGCCCTGTGTGCTCATGCACACAGGAGGAGCAGGGGCTTTCCCCCATTTTGGAGACTTGGAAGTTGAGGCTCGGGGAAGTTCAGGATGTCCCTGAGGGGCAAGGCTGGGTGTCAAGGCCAGGCCCTTTGGGACCCAGGGTACATTTTAAATGTTGGTCATTCTGGCCAGACCCCCAGGGAGGCCAGGGTTTCCCTCAGGCTCTGTGGGACACTTACCCACCCCCACCCAGTGAGGACTGACACCACCCTGTGCTCCTTCCCCAGGTCAGCCTGCAATGAGCGCCTTCTCTGCCCGTCAAGGCCACCCTTTCTGAGTGCTGAGTCGGGTTGGGATGCTCCCGTGTGCTCCCATCTGATGGAGGATTAGCTGGGTCTGGACTGGGATCACTGCTGGACACCTGAGACTGTCGCTCACAATGTCATCAAACCGGAGCCAGAACCCCCACGGGCTGAAGCAGATCGGCCTGGACCAGATCTGGGACGACCTCAGAGCCGGAATCCAGCAGGTCTATACCAGGCAGAGTATGGCCAAGTCCCGGTACATGGAACTCTACACGTATCCTGCTGGGGCCGTGCTGGAGCACACACGGTGGGCAGCTGGTGCCCTGACCACGGTCTCCACGTCTCACGTCACATTTGCGCTGGCCACTTCATCCCGTCCTTGTCCCCCCAGTGTTCATTTTCAGCTTCGCAATTAATTAGCTTCTCTCTTCTTTCTGAATGGTGGTGAGATGGCTAGTTGGTGGTCTGAAGCAGTGCTATTCAGTACACTACTGTTGGCCACAAGTGGCAACGTAAATTTAAAGTGATGGTAGTTAATAATGGCAGTTAACTTCCTTGGCTGCAGTGACCATCATTCAGGGCTCACTACCCAAAGAACAGAGTGCTCCCATCACTGCAGAAGTTCTGGGAGGTGGGTCCACAAACCACAGCCCATGGTCCAGGCCTGCCTCAGCCACTCAACAAGACCACCAGCACCACCTTCACGCCGAGTGCAGCTGAATCATGGGCAGAAAGGTGGTCCTTCACAGGTGGGGTTGTCCTCGGTCTGCAAGGATAGCGCCTAGAGCCGGCGTCTACCCTTGGGGCTGTTTGGAAGGCGACATCAGCCACTCACTCACATGGTCTGTGACACGGACCGAGGGGTGATACCGTCCCTGAGGCATGAAAGGGTTGTGCCTGTCCTGTGTTGCGCTTCGTAAAGCTTCTGGGCTCCACTGAGAGGCGGGAAGTTGGAATCAAAGCTAAGATATCAGGTTGTGACTAGTGTGCTGATTCTAGGAGTGCCGAGGTTCAGTGGACAGTTAAACCTTTCACCTGGATCATTGATCATCAGATTTAATTACTCAGTATGCCCAAATGCCCCAACTAGGCCCATGTCTTAGACTCTTGAGTAAGTTAACATGAATGTAAATACCTAGAGCTACATGCCTATCTCAAAATTACTTCAGTTACAGTCTGTTGTATGTGTACACACATGCTCATATGTGCATATGTATATTCACACACACAGAGGACATTTCTTCTGTAACAGCTTTATGTTACACATATATACACATATCATACTTCTAAAATGACCGAGTCCATGGCTTTAGTATACTCAGTGTTCGGCAGCCATCACAGCCATCTATAGACCATTTTCATCACCCCAGAAAGCAACCCCATGCGTGGTAGCAGCACTCCCTTTCCTCCCAGCCCCTGGCCCCCGCAGTCTGCCTTCTGTCTCTTAATTTGTTCTGGACACTGTATGAGTGACAGCACACAGTGTGTCTTCTGTGCCTGGCCTCTTTCACTTCCATTGTGTGGCTGCACCACACTTCGCTTCTCTGTTGATCCGTTGATGGCCACTGAGTGGTTCCTACTCTCTGGCTCTTGCGAGGCTGATCTGGGCGTGCTGTACAGGTGCACTGTGGGTCTCTCTGGTTCCATACCTAGCAGTGAAGGCTGCGGCCTGTGGTCCGTGGAGCACTTTTAATGAAGAGCATCTCTGCCAGATGAAATGGTATTATTCCACTCGTGAGGGTTGTGGCTTGCTGGGTATGGCGATTGTTTTGAATTCTTACAAGTAGTAGAGCCAGAGGTGGTGCAAGGGGCCGGGTTGTGCTTCTGCTCGAGACGGACCGGCATGCAGACGGTCTTCGCCTGAGGAGGCTGCATGCAGAGCTGCCGTCCACAGGACAGCTCCAGGCCGGGGGGCGTCTCTGCCCTGCGAGGCCGAGGCAGGAGGGGCGCTGCGCACGGCTGCACCAGCGGTTCACTTCTGGGTTGTCATTGTCCAGATACTTGGCATTGTCATTTGTTTAAGACTGCCACGATGAAGGTGGTTGTTACTCTTTTCCTTCCAGTTTTGTCTGAGATGATAACAGCCTCATACGTTTGCTACGATTGGAGAGTTGGAGCTAATTGCTCAATGTGCTTTTTGCTTTGCAATATCAGCTGCTCTGTCTGTACTCTCTTGAGACTTTGCTGGGTCGGGACAAACATCCAGATGCAATCAAAACCCTCACGTTGGCACATACTCACTCAGCAGGAAGCTTGCTCCTGTGGAAAACGGTTTGAGAACTTTTGGAATTGTCTTCACAATGAGCCTCACGTTGTTTTGAGAAACCGCAGTGCGGAGACCGCCAGGAGTCATGTGGCACGTACTCTGAGTACAGGTGACTAGGTGAAGGCCAGGTTTTATCACAGGCTTTGATGAAAGGCCTGCATGCACTGGGGTCTTCATGATGAAGAGTAGTCATGGCTGAAGTTAACTTCAGACACGTTTTATAGGATACACCTGATTGAGGGCAGGCTTCTACCAGGACTGATCTTCTGTAAGTAAATGTGGTTAGAGGTGCTCTGATGGCACGGTGCCTAAGGTATGTGACTGCTAACCAGAAGGTTGGCGGTTCAGCGATTCAAACTACCAGGCACTCCTCGGAAGGAAGATTGGGCAATCTGCTTCCATAGAGATATCGCCTCGGAAACCCAAGGAGGGGTCTCTGAATCAGAACTGACTCGACGGCAGTGAGGGTTTTGGTTTTGGTTTTTTTAGTGTGGTTATAGTGCCACGGCTACTCCGCCAACCATTTCCTCAAGCCTGCTAGTGTACCATGTCTCATCCCTAATTGACACTCTCTTTGGGAACAATAGAGATGTCAGGCCGTCATCTGTTCGCTTCCCTGTCTCGATGTGTAGGCTCCTTCTCCTTACTTCAGGTGCATTTTCCTGGCTGTCTGCTGTGTCCTTTACTCTCTGCATGTTGTTTGTGGAGTGATGGCTGGCATGGGTCCTGTTGTGAGGCTGTGGGACAGGAATGCTTCACACTGCCGTAGCGAGGGTGTGTGACAGGGACGCCCCACTCTGCC